CGACGTTTCTGAGTAAGTTCGTGCCCATAACAATGGTGTCAGCTTACACGGAGAAGCACGTCATGAATATTTTACACAAAAGCTACATAATCCCCTTACTAGGATCTTTTTCTAGTGAAATACCTCTGTGTGGCAGGGCAGAAAGAATTCTAGTTATTTTAAGAGAGAGAGGTTCACAGACAACCTTGCTGTATTCATCACACCGCTGACGTTAACCATCACGCTTTTGCCCCAGCAGCGGATGCCCGCCCGGCACAAATAACGTTAATGGACGGTAACATCAGCAGATACCACCCTCGCTTGTTTCACGTGTTCCTGCTGTGCTGCTGGAGAGAAGTTGCACAAGACGCTGGGGTGTAATCCTCCCAGGAAAACAACCACGTCTGCATCACAGCTCGTCATTCAGGTTCTGCTCACGGTCCTTAAGGAGAGGCAGACACTTCCAAGGTTCAACATTACTCTCATCTTGAGGCAGGCAGCTAAACAGATCCCCTGAATCACCAGTTAGAAGCACTTAACTTCTGTAGCATCTATTCCTTGACTGATTCCTCTCTCCCATGGAACCGCCTGCTTGTGAATGTCGAGGTTTTAGGATGGTCTGAGACCCCCGAGGTGGCCAGTCGGGTTGCTTGCCTTTGCCCACCAAAAGCGCACCATGCCCAGCCTCTCATTTCCCTCGATACCCTCACTCGGTACCTCACAACACTCCCCTCTTGGACAGCTCAGCCCCTGTGTGAGCTGCACAGAGCTAAACCGTTCCGCGGGAAGCTTCACCAGCTGAGCTAGAAAGCCAGCCAGCAGAAGCTGCATGAATCATTCTTCCTGAGCTCCAAACCACGTTCCCAGCTCTCTCCCCAGAGATATGCTGGGTACAGACAGCTAAATAATGAATCCTTCTACATAACAGTTTATCCTGTGAAGGGGAGTAAAACATTGAGAAAGGCACGGCAGAGACCTGATTTATGCAGCTGTCTAAAAACACCCAGTCACCTGCGCGACTCCAGAAGTGATTAGAAATGCTTTCAAAACACTTTGGAACTACTCCGCTTCGTTACTCAGCACGGCCTTTTGGCGTGAGAACAAACACCAAATTTATATAGTTTTTTTCTCTTTTTCCAGGCTCGGTAACATCTTTCCTAGTACAATATATGAAAATTGACTGGGACCTTTCTGGAGAACTGGCTTTAGGGATCTTCTCAGCAGTAGACGCCGGCTCTCTGTTTCTCATGCACTTCGCTGCCAACATCTGGGCCTGTTATGCCGGCTATCTCCTCTTCAAAGCATCCTATATGCTCCTCATCACAATAGCAACGTACGTATAGACCGTCACAGTGCTGCCATCGCACACAGAGTAGGAACTGAGCTTTGGGTTCACTTTGGGCACCCCTCCCTTCACTCGGAGGGAGCCGGTCCAGTGCTAGCCAGGACTATCTGCATACGCACAGGGACACTTAAACGTCTCATTACGCTGCTTTCATTTCATCAACAATCATAAAAGAAAAATTAACAAAAGGACATTGAACACCTCCCTAGGCAGGAATTCAACAAGGTGCAAAGTATCTTTATGACTAAGGGCAATGGTAACAGAGGAACATAGAAGCTGTTTTCCTCCTTCCTGGCAGGGAAGATGCAAAGGGAGCCACAGGGACAGGCAGCCCACAGGTCCCCTCCTGTCTGAGGCCAGCTTGCTGACACGAGCTGCATGAATGCAAGAAAAGATTTGACATAGAGTGTTCCCCAGCAAAACCTCCTACATAGAACCCTGAATGATATTACGATGTCAGGAAGGAACAAAAGAGAACATTGGGCATGTAAACTCAGACAAGATCTCTCAGCAGGCCGAGCCATTCTGTTGTCAGAAACAGAGCAAATCCTCTGTTTTCGTTGTGGCGGGTTGCTGGCAGTTACAGTGGGTCACGCTGGACTGTCTCGGCACACTTACAACCTGTCCAGCACAGGCTGTGGAGGTGGGGGCGAGCAAAGGGGCAGGTTAAGAAGACCTGACACAAGGTGAAGCCGATCACCTGGTAACATGGCTTGGAGTGCAACCCCACCAGGACAGACTGTGGTAGTCAAGACGTTTCCTGTAGAGAAGGCAAGGAAGCAAACGGACGGATGAAGCACCATTTAGTCTGTCCCTGATACATCACCTGCACGAATCGTTTCTCTTTGCCACGTAACCGGCGGGCAGCAGCTCCCCGCCCGGCTGCAGTAACCGACCCGCCGGTCTCCCCTCAGGTTCCAGATCGCCGTCACCCTGAGCGCGGAACTCTATGCCTTGATGTTCGGGGTCAACAACTTCGTGGCACTGGCGATCCAGAGCATCCTCACAGTGGTCGTGGTGGATTCCAGAGGCCTGGGGCTGGACATAGTGACTCAGGTGAGTGCTGTTAACTTTCTTCATGTTTGCTGCTTAGCCAGTGCCAAAGGGCAATTTACATGTATCCTGTCTCCCAGCAGTGCCCCTGACTCCTGTCAGCCCCGTTCCACTCACGCTAGAGACAGCTGAGATCGGCCAACTTCAGCATTTTCTCAGCTGGGATCTCAGCTGGGGCAGCTTCCTCCTCCCACGTGTTTGGAGAAGACTAAAACTATTCAGATATTCTGCACAGAAAAGGCAAAAGTTACTTTAAAAGATTAAAGATTGAACTAAATGCTAAAAATTAAAACTTTAAAACTAAGGACAGGAATACGCAGGACTTCATGAAAAGCCTTGCCACTGTTGCTGGAAATATTGGCACAAAATCATGGCGTATTTACTGCAGCCAGCGTGGTGACAGCACTGAAATGTGCAAGAAAGAGCAAGAAAGGACTCTTCACGTACATTATTCATGACTATGTGGGTAACGAAGCTTCTCCATTTTACACTAATAGAAGTAATTCTCTTCCTGAAGTTCATTAAGAGAAGTAAGGACTGGAGGCAAGTTCATTCCTCAGAGACCTGTTGTTTGCTGGAAAAGCTCAGATTCTGCTTAATCACAAAGTAAAATCTTGAACCTAGAGACACTGTGCCTCAACAGAGGTAAACAAAATAACCACGTGTCAGCTCTAGAAGCAGCAGCTTTTCCCTAACGCATTCTTCATTAATTCTTCTTCCTTTTTCTCTCCCCATCCCAGTTTTTAATTTATGGCAGCTACTTTGCAGTCATAGCTGGGATTTTCTCACTTGGAAGCATTTGCACGCTTGTCTCAAGCCAATGCCGAAGGAAAACATTAAGATCTTGCCAAGAGCATCCAAACTGTGCCGAACAGGAATCGAAAGAGCAGCCTGTCCCCGGCAACACGACGCGGCTGTAGGTGTCGGGTGGGAGAGGAGCGGTGCTGCGGGGTGCGAAGGCCCAGCGCGGTCCCGCTGAATCGCCACGCCTGCGAGCTGCAGCCAAAACACTGACCCCAGCCCACGGCGAGCTCAGCCCAGGAGGGAAAAACAGAATGAAGAGCCCCCCTCCTCTCCTTTTGCTTCCCCTACAGCTAAACTCAGGACTGAGCACCTTGCTGCTTCAACAGGAGAAAAAAAAAAATAATAATCAAAGGGATGAGTATCACAGACTAACACCAGAGAAGTACATTGTGCAGAAATTTGGCTGAGGCCAGGAAAATTCCAGATTAACAGAAACGTCCAAAAAGATTTATAACTGAAACAAAACGCTAGCATCATGTGTGCTCCTGAGTACCGAATGAGGGCAGCCCACTGATCACACCCAAGGATTTGGCAGAGTCAGCATCTCAGAATGTACCGAGAGGCTTCAAAGTCCTACAGCTAATTTAGTGCGGCACAAAGGACAGCTAGTCCGGGAGAGGAAAAAAAAAGAGACTCCAGGTTTGCATAGTGAATGCCTAATTAAATATAAAATATATGCATACGTTAAAGTTAGTTCTGTACTGCTGTTTGCTTTTAGCTTCCAATGCCTGCATCTAATAAACCCAGAAAACACCCAGCATTTACAGAGCGGCATTCTTCCTGCAGAGACACGAGCTGCCGCTTGCACAGACGCATGTGCAAAAGCAGAGCAGCATTTCCCTGAGGGAGCTTTAGCTTAGACGCTACGTTCAGGTGCTTCTTACGTTCTCCTCCATTTGCTCTGAAGTGACGGGTTGGTCCTTCTCCACAAGTAACCCCTGGGCGACTCAGGGCACGAGGCAGCTGATGTCCCATGGCCCTGCAGGCCGGGTGCCGGGAGGGACCCCACGCGCCCCGAGGCCACTTGCAGTGCAAACCCCAAGGCGGGTGTTGTGTCCATGAGTCACAGATCGTGGTTTTTAAAGGTATTAATGCAAAAATGCAATCAAGTGATGGCCATCTTGCCATCTCACGTTTTGTTAATCATCAACTAGACAGAGCTCAGCTTGCTGACAAAAGCTGTGCAGGAGAAAGCTGCCCCTGCAATCCTCACGGACGAGTCCTGCAAGCAAGAAGAGCTCTGAAGAATTATTTTTTAAAGGCTCTTAACATTTTATCAAGTTTAGAAAGACCCTTTAGGAAACAAAGAGACACGGGAGTTTCTTGCTACCTCCAACCCAAACTGGTGGCTTCTGGCTTCTCCACGGCAAACTCACCTGAGGAGGGAACTGCAGATGGCTCCACGCCGCGCGCCCTGGCGCTCACCGGTAACTCAGCCCTGTCACGGCTCTTCGGTGCGTTTGGGAGTGAGGCAGGATTTACGCTGATGATGTTATTGATCAGGCCAGGGTTTAATGTGTTTTCATTTTGAAAACGTATCTGTTATCAAAAGCAGTTATCAAAAGCAATCCAGGCTATATTTTATATGCAATAACTTGTAAAAGAAGGCAATTAGAGGCAATAATTTGAAATAAAGTTTCAAGATTTTTGTAACATTCCTCCAAGGCCACAGAAGTACGGCCTCAATAGCATACTGTCTCTGCTAGGGTTTAATAAATGCAATCTCGCAGCACGAGTCGAAGCGTGTTTTCAAAGGCACCTGCTATAACAGGGAATTCAACAATTTAAAAGAAATAGCTTGCAACAGCTCGATTAAAATCAGTCAGTGCTTTGCTTTCATTCCCTTCTGTTTCAGAACATGCTTGTCTCACTTGTTTTCCAGGAACGGTGGAACTGACTTGGTGTCACCAAACAAGTAAAATAAGCTAAAATCCCCCAAGTCTCGTTAAGATTTCTTTGTGCTGCCACCTACAGTGAAGAGACAAGCCTTGTTCCCTCCCTGTTGATCATCACCTTCCAAAGCAGTATCACAATTCCTCTTCTCGAAGCCTGAGGAGGGACCACGAGCAGGTAGCTTCTGCATCTTTCTTCACCTACTTGAACAACTGGAGCGTGAGAACCACGATGAGCGTTAAAGCATTCCCAAGAAGCCGAGCTGGCGGCTTTCACAGCCGGCAGGAGGTTTGCCCTGCTGCTGCTCCTGGGGGCTGAAAAGCAACAGGAAAAACCCTCCTCAAGCACGTCGAGACCGAGGTTTAATCAGTTTCCCTGCTCGTTTATTGGGAAGCAAGCCCCTAGCAGGACTTGATTCTGCCACCATGACACATCCCCTCAGGGCATAGCTGAGCGGAGGCCACGGGGGAACCGCCCGCAACGCTCACTCGCCAGCGATGGCCGGCAGGTTTACCAAGAGACATCACCTGAAGTAGGATTAGTTAAAAAATAAACTTACAAAGAAGAGCATCTTTATAAAATTCCCAATGCGCTCACTTCTTCACCAGCCTATTTTTCTGTTTTGTTTTTTGTTATGGTAGGTTATGGATTGCTGGAAGGGAGTCGAGGGCCGCAGCTGGGTTTATCCCACACTGATCATCTGTGCAAATGGGTTTTTCATCACCATGAGGCCATCAGAATCGTTTCTTGTTCCTTACCTAACCGGACCAGAGAAGAACCTCACGTCTGAAGAGGTATGTAACTATTCTCTCAAGTAATAATAAAAATTCTTAAAGAACTGAATGGGAGGTGAGAAGTTGAGTAACCCAGGTGCATTTTATCAACAGATATATTTAAGACATGTCTAGAGAAGAGTAAGGAGTCACCTCTTTTGCAGGTCAAAACTTTACGGTCCCTATATTCTTGGGTCTCTGAAACAAGTTTGGTGGTTAAGAAATCGATACTGTCAGCAAAATCAGGTCAGCTGGTTCCTCTCTCCACCTAGAACCCCAGAGGGGCAACACCAGGATTTATTTATACTTGTCATGGAATTGATTACACTGACTCAGTGATTGCAAACGATAACAAACCCAGCCAGACCTCCCCTCAGGAGCTGCTCCCTCACCACCTGCCTCACAGGGCTGCTCTGTGCACTCATTTCCCTGTGGAGGTCAGAGCCTCGTTCCAAAAAGTGCTGGGTTTTGGGCTTGTTGGTTGTGGTGGTTTTTCTGTTTGCTTGTCTGCAAAAGCACACACTGCAAGTTTCCCTGCTCTGCTGCTCCGTCCAGCGCTCGACAAGTGCGCGTCCCAGCGAGGGGGTGCAGTGAGCAAGCGGCTGAGTCACAGAGCTAATGGCACCATTACAAAACCCAAGCTCAGTACACCCACCGGCAGCTCACACACCACACAGCCATTCCCCACGCACGGCAGCAAACGTTAAGAGAGAATCCGTTAGCACAGCGTGAACCCGAGGTTTCTTCTGGGAAAGGGTATCATGGTTTGGGTTGTTGGGGGCTTTTCCCCCTCCCTTTATTTCTTAACCACAAAGGGGATTTTTCTTTTACGTGAAATACTCAAATAGCATGAAAGGATGCCTTAATTCTGATTTCAGCAAGAATCCTTGAAGCAAAATAAGTGTAGTAGAGATACTGGCTCTTTCAGCCCAAATTACCTCTGGTGAGACAATTCCATAAGTTTCAGTCAAACAGTTAAAATTCTAATTAAAATTCTGAGAAACAAAAAGCCACCCAGAAAGACACAGTGAACCTGATGCTCACCACACAACTTACTCCAGAAATAAAAATCTCCAGCACTCAAGACAAGTCCTTTCCGGTCCAAGTGCTCAAGCAGAGAATGAGTGACCGTGGAGGGTCTGTGGAGTGAGACATCCCGAACGGGCGGCTGCACATCACTCAGTGAACTTTTTCCGTGACTGCAGCTAAAGGAATACTTTCCTCCGTTATAACCGCTTTGAACAGCTGCACATCAAAACCCGACTTCTTCATAGGCATTAACCAGAATTATTTTTTTAAGTCAATGTACCTGTTCTATGTAAACGGGCACAGAAACAGCTGAGGATCGCATCTTCGCCTCCTAGAGAACTTTTACACTTCTGTAATTTAAGTCACAATTCACACAAGTTGGTGTTTCTTTCAATACCAGCATCAAAAAGCTTCCAAACCAACATTTCAAATGCATTTAAAAAAAAAAAAAAAGAAAAATTCTTCTTCTGTTCTCTCCTAGGTCACCAACCAGGTTCTCCCGG